TACTACTACTACTACTACTGCTACTACTACTACTACTACTACTACTACGACTACTACTAGTACTACTGCTACTACTACTACTACTACTACTGCTACTACTACTACTACTACGACTACTACTAGTACTACTGCTACTACTGCTACTACTACTACTGCTACTTCTGCGATCGCGACTGCCACTGTTACTGCTACTGCTGCTGCTATGGCTCCTGCTGCTGGTACTGGTTCTGGTGCTGGCACTGCTGCTGCTACTACTACTTCCACGACCACCACTACCAATAGTCCTGCTGCTGCTACTACGACGACGACTACTACTAGTACTTCTACTGTTACAAGTACGAGTACTACAACTACGACGACTACTACATCTCCTACCACGACTATTGCTACTACCATTACGATAACGACCACTACTACAGAGTCGGGGTTATCATGTTGCGAGCTCGGCATTCAGAACCCCCTTGATGATGTATCGAGTCCAATTCCCCAACTTCTACATCGATTAATCGGTACAGAAACGTGGACAATTTTACTTCTTTCCACATCATCTCATTGTATTGAACACTGGATTTTGTTTTGCTGTTGTGAGCAGGGTTGTGTTTTCGCGCTTTACGCAACGGACAAAATGGGCAGTGCAATCAGCGCGATCCCAAGTCTCACTTATCAGTTATTTGATGTCATAACATTGAACCCCATGTACTGTCGTTTCACTCCAAGTGGAAGATAATCTCCAATATAAATTAGTTTGTCGTTGTGGTAGTCTGCAGCGACAGCTCTCTGTAGAGCTAAACTTGCAGGATGCTGCGGGTTCTGCATTGGACTTCATCGTGGAGCATCTTCAATGGCCTTTGGACCCGTGGGGTAAACAGGGGATTCCGAGATGCTGACAGCTGGGGTTACATTTATCATTCCGGCCATCCATGGGTTGATGCGCGAGGGACACATTGCTGAGAGACGTCCGTCGGGAGGGCTATCAGGTGCAGTGTGTTCGCGGGCCTGTGTTTGCATCGGGCATCGGCAAACGAGCCGACAGCAACGGTAAGCTCCTAGTCCTCGGCTCAGAAGTTGATTTGGGAAAGCCGATTGCAGGCGCCGACACGAGTCAACATTTTCATCTGCCTCTCTCACGGACACATGGAGTGTATGCACTTCCAACTCCGCTTCAGGGAGTATGCACTCCCAACTCACGCAATAAGTGCTTGACAGTGTGTATGGCTTCCGAGAGACAGAAGACAAAATGTAGGCATTGCTGCGTGCAGGATTCGGTGATGATCTTCGGCAGGTCTATAGGCACGCACATCACGGCTTGAGATGTTTGTGTTGCTTCGCAAGCCCAAGTGCCGCGAACTCCAGAAGTTCAGCGACTTGAATTCCGGCTATCCCGCCAAGCCAGCGCCACGGAGTGGTGGCATGCAGCCACTGAACCCGAATATCGAAGTGACTGTAGGTCAGCTCAGACCAGGTTCAGCTTCCTAGGTCAGGGTGCCGGCCCTACGTGACCTTTCGTCCAGCCAGGTGCAGTTGTTCACAGTTGTTGTGGCAAACGCAGGTCTATAGATTGTCAGCGAGTGACTAGTGACTAGTACGGCACACTTGACTAGTGTGGCACAGTTCCGTCATAAAGACTGTGGCTTTTGGCCTATAAAGCAAGCCTCACCTGTTGCAACGTCCGGGACCACCTCTTTAATTACCCGGCATGCAATGGCAGTGATGGCAGTTACAAATCCAACTTTGGCCCAGACGGCGAGCAAGACTTTTTCGGCCACAGTGTCAGTCTCATGATGCAACACAAGGACATAAGCAGCGCAGACCAGCCCGAGACTGCCAAGCGTAACCACATCAGCAAAGCAAAACAACGGCAGCGCTACTAGTAACAGTAATAGTCAGAGAGTGTGTATTTGCTTACGATGATATTCGTCTAGGGAGGGAGAGAGGGAGGGAGATGAAGCGCAATCAAACAAGCAAGCAAGCCAGCAAGAGATGTAATGGTTCGCCTTGCCCAGGCGCAGAAGGCTAAGCGGCCTCGAGATCAGCAAAGCCAGTTAGCGACACAGTGGGAACGAGAAAGAGAGCAAGACAGGGCCACAGACAAAGAAGGAGCGAGACACAGAGCGAGAGAACAGGAACACCGCCCAGTGGCCAAACCCTGCAGGAAGACGAGATATGGAACGACAGAAGCAAACACGGAGAGGGCAAGATGGAGAGAAGAGCCGGGGTTTTCGGAGAGAGATAGAGTCCTTAACCTCTGGATTGTGCCTTGAGCACCTTGCAAGGCAGAAACCCTTTCTGAAACCTAGTTCCTACCCGGTAAGATTCAAGGTAGTGATCACGAGCGTCCTGTCAGATGACAACGACAAGAGAAGTGCTAGTAGGAGCAAGGATAAACGACAACAGGCATTCCCACAGGACTCCCAACAGCAAAAGGTGATAGTTGTCGGTGTTGGTGGTAGAATCACTGTAGCACTCGCTTAGGACACAACTTTGAGACAGTTGGTTTTAGAGACACTCAAGCAGCAGTTTGCACGATGGAAGAAAGTTGAGACTCGTGTTCACTTGCCTTGGTTTTGGCCTTGCCGTCGCCAGGGACAGGTCCAGCCATGGCCATCGCGGGCAACCAACCTTTGGCAGGCGGGTTCAAGGTTCACGAGGCATCCATTTTGGGCAGGTTCTAGTCTGGTTCAGCTCTTCTGGCTTGGGCAGGCGCTTAGAGCCAAGCGGGGCTTGGTCAGTCTTCGTCATCGCCTTGCCATGGCCCTCAAGCCGAAATGGAGCAGAAGCACGGAATATGGAAACCAGACATTGAGAACTTACAACCCGGGCCACATTTTCCTGCAGGTCTAATCCTGGTTTCACCGTTTCTTTCCATCCAGGAGCTCATTCGTGCCTTCTGGCTGCATAATGCCAGTTCTCATAACCGCCAAAATCAGCCCTTGCATTGATCTGAAGGTCCTTGTCGCTGTATTCATACAAATCGAACGCGGCCACAACACAACATGCCATCGCGATAGTTCCGTGATGGCTCTGCTCAATCTATGTTTTTGCGAGAGTTATTGCGTTCTCTTACTGGCTAGCTATTCGTTTTACTGCTACTACTACCACCTACTACTACTACTACTACTACTACTACTACTACTACTACGTTTGCTTCTACTTTTACTGCCACTGCGACTGCAACAACAACAAC